TTATGGTTTCCTTATGGTAATCAACTCTAAAATCATCTCTTAAGCAATAAAATGTGAGGAAGATGAAGTAACTGTTGAGATCTACAGACATAACAACAGATCTGCAAATCATATGCATATCATCTATGAAAGTAAAGGCCCTACTGAAAGTCCTTATACTCTTACTCCTATGGTAAAAGTCTAGTACCAAATTATGGGAACCAATCTAAGGCCTAGAGAAAAGGGGACATGATGGATTTCTTCTGATGACAAACACTTCATTATGTTACTAGTCTCTAAAACTAAGATCAATCTGCCGTTGTTTATGTTCAATTATCTGAAAGAAGATATGCTTGTATCTCGTAAGGAATTATCCGTTCTCATTCCTTTTGGTAGGGTTCTCTCTATGATTCTTGTTCAACAGGGTGTTGTTAATCATTTACAACAAGCTAGGTTGATTGATAAACTTGTTCTTGACTGGTGTTCAACTATGAATTATTCTGAAACCATTATTAATCACTGAAGTTCTTTCTTTTTTTCTGCCTTTTTAATTGATGTCAAAGGGGCAGAATGAATTAAGTATTCTTCTAGATTAATTTTAGATCCGGATGAGGTTGGTGATCCTATTTAGGGGGAGATTACAAACCTCACCCTTGAAGTGGATTCACTATTCTATATAGGGGGGCTTACAAACCTTACCTCTTAGAATTCACATATATGACTCAGGGGGAGCTTACAAACCTCACCTCTAAGACTGTTTGACACAGGGGGAGCTTACTAACCTCAGAACCTGAAAGTTGTTAAGTAATTAATCTACTGATTATTTTTAAAATACTTAAAGTTGCCATCATAAAAAAGGGGGGCGATTGTTGAGACAAGTTTGGTACATACCATGTATCCTCTAATGTTTTGATGATGGCAAAGTATTTGAAAAACAACTAGGATTTCTAACTAGCTAGTTTGTGTGTGCATAACTTTATTTAGTTGGTGAAACTGGTTCTGACACAGAAGTGGCTTTGGTCCGGTTCTGGTCATACACTCATAAGAGAATCTGATCAGAAAGCAGTTGCTAATACACTCTAGAAGTAGAAATGTGCTATGCTGCCTCTGAGACTGAGTAGTGCCAACTCAGTTTTACTAATACAAGACTCAAGGTATATTGACATTATTTTCAACAGATTGTGTTGTACCTAAATCATAGATATGTCCTCTGGACAAAGGCCTTGTTCTGAGGATATTTCTTTGATTGAAAGTTCCAACACCTGCTTTATTGGAAAAGAAGATGTAATAGAAGATTTGATCTGATTATAGCCATTGTGGATGCTTCAATGACTATATTTCTTCAGCTATATAAGGTGTAGAATATTTGAAGATCAATTTAAGAAATAACGTTGCAACTACAACTGAGAAATACACGCACTGCATACCAGAAGCAAAATATGTTAAGAGTTTTTATTCTTGTATAACTTAAGAATCCTTTGTAAAAATGTGTTGTATTATATTTGAATACCTCTGATTTTTAATCAAATGTTGTTGTAAGTTATTTCTTGTCTAAACAGTTGGTTTAGATAAAAGTCTCTTGTTGTAGGCTTGAGAAGGAAAGTCTTAGACAGTGTGTCTGAGCAGGAAAGTCTTGGATCGAGGATCCGAATAAGGAAAGTCTTAGGCAGTGTTTTTGAGCAGGAAAGTATTGGATTGAAGATCTAATTAAGGGAAGTCTTAGGTAGTGTGTCTAACCAGGAAAGCTTTGAATCATGTGGTTTGAGCAAGGAAAGTATCTGAGGATCTAAGCAGGATGTCTTGATCAGGTGCTGATTAAACAAGAAAGTCTTAGACTGGAGGCCTGAGCAAGAAAAGTCTTAGACTAGTGTGTATAAGCAAGTGTAATCGGGTTGATTATAATGAAAAATCTCTTGTTAAGACAAGGGGACTGGAGTACTCTCAGTTAGAAAAGGAACCAGGATAACTGTTGTGTGTTCTTTGCTGTTTTTTCTTTACTTCTGTTACATTTTTCGCTACACTATTTATCAGATTCTAAAACTCAATTTTAGAACTTGAACTCTGGTTCAGAAGTAAATCTATTTTTGCAAACACAATTTAACCCCCACTCTTGTGTATTTTTCTCGCCTTCATGTAGTGTCATACCTATTCATCTCTGCTAGTTACAGTTGCCCGACACTTGTGCTCAATCACATTTAGTTCAATCTTGAAGGTTCTATTCTGAGACATGGATGCCTTCAAGATTAACTTACCACCTGATTCGAGAACTCTCATCATCTTATCTTCGATCAACACTTCGTAATTTTTCTTGATCAGTTTTCGTATGTTGAGCAAATTACTTTTCATGCCTAGTATGTATAGTACATTGGAAATAACTAACATTTTATCATCTTTCTTCATGATCAAAACATCACCAATACCTTTAGCATCCAAGGTATTGTCATTTGCGAATTTCACCTTGTTCTTCATAGAAGGGGTTATGTTGACAAACCAATCTTTCCTTTCAGTCATGTGTCATGAAAAACCTGAGTTTAAGTACCATTGATCCTTGAATATTTCTTCATCTTTTGTTGTGACCATCAACAACATCTCTTCTACTTCGTGTTTTGCAAGTCCTGCATTACTTTCTTGAATTTCTTCATTGCCTCATCGACATTGACTTACATAATAATGTCCATACTTCTAGCAACTATAACATTAAATATGGATTTTGTCAAGTTTTCTTCCATCGTCTCTTCCTCTACCTACAACACCTCCTCTGTGATTGCCTTGGTTTGAATATTGTCTCTAATTTGATGAGCTACTTTCTTGTTGGTTTCCTCTACTAGACGGATTGCTGTAACTTCCTCAGCATTTGTTACCATTCCATATTCTGTTGTCTTTATTTTTTTTTGTTGAATACGCCTGTAGAGCTACACCACTCTTTATCTTACTAGTAAATCATTCAACCATTCTCTATTCATGAGATTCAAGCGTTCCTTGAAGCTCTTCTTCTATCATGCTTGACGAATCCTTCGACCTTTTTATGGCTACTACCATATGATTGAATTCTAGAGTCATTGAACTCAAGATCTTTGTAACTACTGATTTTGTTGTCAACACTTCTCCACAAATATTGATATGATTCACCAGTCTTGTTACCCTAATGGAGAAATCAACAATGCTTTCACGTTCTTCCATCTAAAGCAATTCATACGTTCTTTAGTGAGTTTGTAACCTCACCTCGTTCACGTTTTCACCACCTCCAAATGATTTCTCCAGGATATCCCATGCTTCCTTTGCTGAGTCTACATCACCAACTTTCTCATAGTTGTCTAAATCAACAAATTGATGAATTATTAAGAGAGCTTTATAATCTTTCTTCTTCAAATCTTTATGTGCAACCTTTTGTTCATCTGTAGCATCTTCTCCAATTGGTGTCACTACATTCTTCACAAGATCTCAAATATCTTGATAATAGAAAACAACCTTCATCTGCTTACGCCAATTCTCATAATTCTTGCCATTCAAGATTGAAAGATTTGCTGAAACATGCTCGTTCGGATGAGAAGTCATTGTTCTAGGCTTCCCAAGAATCGCAACCAAAGCTCTAGATACCAGATGTTATAATTAAACCACAATCTTGGAGATAATCTGAATCAATCTTGATTGAACAAGAATCAATCTTTTTGATTAATCGGTCATCTCGTTCCTCACTCTTCACTCGAGTGATTCAACCACTCCTTGATTTCAAGATAATTCATGTGAACAATGATTTGATAAGAAAAGAAATCTGAAACTAAATTGGGAAGAGAATTTTGGACTCTGAGAGAATCGAGAAAATGGATCAAATTCTACATAGTTTCTCTCTGCGTTTATTCTTAATGAATTTCTTTTATTCAACACATTACACTAGTAGAATACCTCCATATTTATAATGAGATTACTTGTCCACAAAATAATTCTCTCTGCATTTATTCTTACTGAATTTCTCTTATTTAACTTTCTATCGAATACAATTAATCGACTCTGTTCGACTTGTCGAACGCACACCATTTTGACTCTATCAAATGCACAATTATGCTTGACACAGAAGTACCTATTTAATATTTATAATAGACTCTGTTCGACTTGTCGAACGCACACCATTTTGACTCTATCAAATGCACAATTATGCTTGACACAAAAGTACCTATTTAATATTTATAACAGACTTGGTTCGACTTGTCGAACACACACCATTTTGACTCTATCAAATGCACACTTATGCTTGACACAGAAGTACCTATTTAATATTTATAATAGACTATGTTCGACTTGTCGAACACACCATTTTGACTCTATCAAATGCACAATTATGCTTGACACAGAAGTACTTATTTAATATTTAATATAATACCGATAGACTATTTGGAAAAAAAAAAAAAAACCTATATTTACCAACCCAAAATCAGAGCAGTTCTACTATGGTTAACATTGGAGCTAAATTCCTTTCTCAACCACCAAAGTCAGCAATGAGCACACATTTTTTTGTTGCTGTTGAACTATCCCAATCGATTATAGGCGACTATTATGTGAATAAAAACAAAAAACAGCTGCTGTTACTTTTGTCCCATATTTGGTTCACCAACCACACAGTATACAGCTCATAATACTTCAATTATTAATTTGCTGATCCTAGCAAATTACTACTTGTTGGACACCACTGCATATATTTTCTCATTAAAATAACATAAGATAAGATGGTCAGAGTAAAACTGGATTCTTTTCCCACACTGCCACAGATAACAAGGCATAATAAACCCAAAAATTGGCAAAATTCAAAACATACATTTTATTCCATCAAAATATTAAAATGCTCACCACCAAATACATCAGAAATACTTTTATTATTACCAGAATTCAAAGCTGTTGTCTCTGGTTAGTGCCAACAGAGACAACCTAAAAACAAACACAGCCAAGATGAATCACAAAAGTAAATTTACCCAACATTCATATAACATTGTAGCAAATGTTTCATTCCCCAGTCTCATTTTGATTCATCAATGGGAAGAAATTTTAAGGTTGAGGTGGAACCAAGACTTCCAACTACCATTTCCCCTGCGTGAAAGTGATGAAGTCCTACTTCCATTATCAGCTGCTTCATTTGTAGTGTGTGGCTTCCTGCATAGCACGAAATTCCGAGCTCCATGTGATCCGATTTTGTCCCATGGGCTCAAAGCCACTGCACCATCAAACCACAACACAACGAGAGGGGTAGCTAGTTTAGAGAATCAATTCTAAGCATTAAAAATCAAGTTTGATGGAAGTAATGGTGATTATACCATAAACTAAGCTAAAAAGTTACAAATATAAATTACTTTCTTTCATTCCTACTCACTTTTAATCCAAATCAAAAAGATAATTCAAAATTAAATTTACAAATACTCTGCATTCATCTTAATTACAAAGAACCATATCCCCTCTTTCTCTATGGTCTGCACGTGCCTTTTCAAGGAGAGCGATGGTCCCCAAGATTTCCGTTTGCAAACCAAAATATGAAAAATAAACAGTTGCAACTACAAAGTTATGCCAAACTCATCCTTTCAAATCTCAATCAATCGATCAAGTTAAAAGATTTAAAACAATTCAATGTCTATGCAAAAGAAGCTAGGAACTAACTACAAGATAAGTGAGGAATCAAGTAGTTTCAAAAAGATAAGAACAAATATCAGAATAATTAAAATTACTTGAAAAATTCTTTATGGGTTTGGGAACTTGTTGAGACAAGATGAGCACCATGTTTTCTACACAAGAGTCAGGGTTCAAACCTTAGACTACTTGTTTATGGTACCCGAGTCCCTAACCACTCAGGCCAACACTTTTAAAAAGCACAAAATATAATTTTCATTCCAGAACAACAACCAAGCCTTATCCTAGCAAGTGGGGTCAACTAGGTGGATCAACTTTCGCGATAATGCTCATCATTTTGTAGTTGATCAATATCATAGAGATTCAACAAAGTTTTATGTGGATGGCCTAATACAATCCTCTCCTTTTATCTGGGCTTGGGACCAGCTATGCATAGCAAAGCTAACATAGGTCCAAAGGTAAATTATTTGTCATCAATACTTTCTTAACAACTCAACCTATAATTTCCATCATCTCTCTCTATCCATATAGATAAAACTATTGGTTTTACTGTCCATTCAAACACATAATAATAAATTGTGACTTAACAGAATGATACTAAATTATGCAATTGAAGAAAAAGACCAATACCATCAGATCCACGATGAGGACAGTAAAGAAAGAAGTCTCTATGATCACTCCCCAGACGCGGTAATCGCCCTTCACGTGCATAAGACTTCAGAGTAGTATCAATAACAGCCTCAACAAGCTCATCTTCATCCACAACAAACCGAATCGGGCCAGCGCTTCCCAACACATTGATACTAACCAACAGCCTCTTGCCGCTGTTAGCGTTGTGATTCTTCTTATGCTTGCTCAACAACATCGCGTCTTTATACTACCACACTACAAATCACAAAACCAAAAAAACACAAACAACAAACTACACCCTACGAGTAAATGTAACGCTCAATTTTGTAAAAACTTGGAAAGAATGGGGGAAATTGTTGGATTAGGGTTTGGATGGATCGAGACCGAGGCAGCGATAGTGCCAACCTTGCATGCAAGAAGCGAAGGGGAAGAGAGCGCTCGCCGTTGTTGATGGTGAAAAGGAGCGCATGAAATCGAAGGGGAAAGGGAAGAGGGTTTCTACCATTCACGAAGATCTGAGAGAAATTTCGGAAAGAAAGAGATTGGTGAGAAAAGAAGAAAAGGAAAGTGGAATATATATAGTTGAGTTGGAGAAGGATTCAAATTAGGTAGTTGTTTGTTTCTTTTCTGTTCGCAGTGTCGTCACCTTTTGACCCGGAAAAAAAGGAGTAGTTTTACCTGGAAATTTTACAAATTACTGCTACCGTATAAGAAAAGAAAATGTTTTCGAAAGTTTATTTATTTATTTATTTTTCAACTTCTGCATCTCACTAAAATGAGGGTGATTTATGATTCAATTATAACTAAAATGCTATTTTTATACCATTTTTTACACCCAATACTTACATTGTATGCACTGTTCACCGTATTTATATGGTGAACAGTGTTTTTTTAATTAAAATAATATATATTTTTTAAAATATTAATTTTTAAAAAAAATATTTATTTTTAAAATTTATTTTATAACACAAATATAAGATTGCGCATTAACCAACTTCACAGTTGCATTAACCACAAAAATCTACATCATTAACCAATTATTTTACCTATAATTTATTAAGCACTTTCACTACTTCATTAACCAATAAAATACACACTATTAACCATGTTCTGAGGAATTTGTTCAAGTATTTGTAAACAGTGAATTGGGTGTAGGGTGTAGAAAATGGTGTCAACATAACAATCCTGTTATAACTATCGTTGTTTTTTTTCTTTTTTTTAAGACTTGGATCAATTAATGATGTCATTTGATTTTCTTTGATTTCAAACCAACTTATTAAATTCAGCATTTTCTCTTATCTCTTTTTCTAATGTCAGATCTAAATTCAAATTTCTTTTATCTTTTTCTCTCACCTGTCACATGTTACTTTGTATTTCCCTCTTCTCTCACCTCTCTCACCACGAGAATTACTTTTTCTTCCTCCTTTCTTTATTTTCTCTTCCTCTTCATATTCCTCTTATGTAAAACTCTAAATTGATCTTCTTAATTTTTTTAAGTAAAATCAAATCCACATCTCAAATAGATGAAAATCGGCGGCGAGATTGTTCTGATGAGATTCCAACTGCGGTGGTTCAGTCTATCGCTGGTGAGGCGTCAGGGAAAGAAAGGGTGAATCTGATGTGCACGATGGTGGTCGATTTATGTTATTATGATTGAATCACATGTTATATAACCTTCTTCTAATTTTCTTTGTTTGCTTAGAGTTTTGTGTAGTTGAAGTTCAAAACTACTATTAATGAAAATGAAAATGATGATATTGTCTTTGTTGGTTTGTTGTATTATTGTGTTTTTTGTGTTGATGGTGATTTTTATTTGTTGATTTGTTGTTTGTGTGGTTAAAGGTTGATGAAGGAGATAGGGGTGTAGGTTTGAATGGTGATGATATGTTGAAGATGGTGAGTTATTACTATGTATTTGAATCATATGTTTCTAATTTGCTATTTCTTACAACAGTGTGCAGTTTTGCGGTGGTATATCTGTGGTGGCAACAATCATTACATTCTGAAGCACTTATTCACATATTGTCAACAAGATCGAATGTAAGACATTATTTTTAGTGTATTCTACATGAAGCTTTTTCTTACTAATGTAGTAAATTTATCATTTCATAAGCTTAAAGATTGATTATGTTTTTTTCCACAAATGTACATGATCATGATTCTTCTTGAACGAAAGGGTCTAATAACAGTAACCAATTGTTTTAGGTTCAGGTCCTGCTGTGTGTGATTCTCACTATACTTTTAAAGTTTTGCAACCTCAACAATTTCAGAGCAACTCGAAGTTCTAACGATGCGACAAGATTGTGTCTGCTGATCTATTCCCGATCATAGTTGTAACTTTGTCAACCTCAAACCCTTTTTATTTTGTTAGAATTGTCTTAATTTTAGTCAAGAAGTTGAATAAGATATCTGTTAGGTTTTGGCTTCCGTTCGGTTCTGTTCAGCACATAAAGAAGTTTCTGACTGCCGTCGCAAGAAGGTGATTTTTACTATCTTTCCCATCCATTCGATTATATCTTTGTTCAATCGGTTGCAATTTATGTTCAATCATTCTATCACACTAGTTGTGCCTCATAGAGACTTTGACGAGATGATTGAGAATGGAACTCTTAGTCCCGAGCTAGCGATTTAGGTTCTCTGTCAGTTTGATAAGGTATGTTTTGGGATTGCTGGATTTGGTTTAACTTTCGTTTTGTTAATTATTTTAACTGCATGTGGATTTTGTAATCTATGACATAAGCTCTAGAAACATAATCTAAGAGAAAGGTCTCTATCAAGGTAACACGACTTATTCTTTTATGAGATAGTTTACTGTAGAGTGTTGAATTTTTCCCTGATGTTCCCACATTGGAAAGAATTGTTATTATCCTTCTCAGATCTGAAACTAGACATTCATAAGAAAGGCCTTTTGGAATTGTCATCAACCGTCCTCTTCACAAAAATATTTTAAAAATAAGACCTACAAATTAGGATTTAACAACCTCATTTTCTGATTGTTTTCTGCATTTTGGTGGACATTTTGAGGCAAGCATCATGGAAGAAGTTAAAGGTTCTAAGATTTGAAGAGGTAGTCCCTGGACCATATATTAGAGCTCAAAATAGTTTAGATGATGCATCAAAACTTGTGAAGAAATAAGTTAGTGCTTTTTTTTTGCAAAATCAAATCTATGTTGCAAATTAGAAACGGAGAAGACAGTCACCCTACACAAAAATGAAGGTTAGTGATCACATCTTAATCGGAGACGGGGAAGACAATCACCCTACACTAAATAAATTGATTTCTATTACAATGAAGTGATTTTATTGTCAACCTATCATTTTTTTTCTTTTTGTTACAAAAGCTTACCCATCAACAAAATTTAAGATGGAAGGGGAAGCTGAAGAAAGGAGAAAAGCGAGATTGAGACGTCACCGGAGAACACAACAGTGATCAGTATGTATTATCTTGCTCAATTTTCCAAGTTTCTATTAATAAGGGATTAAGACTCTTCATTGCAAATTGAATGTTATATTTCTATTAACATTTTTGTGTTATCTAGTTTTCTAAAATGATTGGTGTCATACCCCAAATTTGTCCTACCTGTATATAGCCTTCACCGGTACATCTATCCATTAATCCTTATTCAAAAATCCAAAAAATATGAAGTTTCTCTCTTTCCTCTTGTTGTTCTTAGGTTACAAGGTTGAGTTAGGCTTCAGGCAGGGATGTCAGATCAGTTGTACATGCATTATTGATTCAAGTGGATTTGGTTGTGACCTAATTTTGGTCAGGCGGTTTGGTTCTAAGATCAAGATATGAATATGATTTGTTCAACTAGTATAGATTTCAGCCCTCAATTAGGGTTTCAGGCAATGCACTGAGGTCCACATCTCAAAGTTGCAATTCTGGTTTCCAAGGCATGTTTAAGAAGGCTCAATACGAATGTTTGTGGATTATTAAGAGGACAAGCTCATCTTGATTCAAGACTACAAGTGCTAGGACCAATTTAAGATTCTATTCCAAGTGGGAACTTAAGAAGTTAGAATTTGGTTCTAGTGACCAAAAATTCAAATGTTCATAGTCAAGAATCAGGGACGACGTCATGAGTTCAAGCAAAAGGATATTGGTTGTAATATGGATTTGGTTTGTTCATGTTTGTCAAATACTAAATGCATCAATTTCTTATGGTTCAAGATTCAATATTCAATTTCTAAGTTCTAACTCATGATTCAAATTTCAAATTCTATGCAAGGTGCCATATAAGATCCAAATTCCAATATCATGATCCAAATTCCAATTTTTTAAACTCGTGTCAAATATCCACTTAATATTCAAGTTTATGCCATAAATCAATTCAAATTTTTATAAACCATTATTTATCCTAAATACACTAAAGTCCATCATAATCATTATAAAGAGTTAGTTTATATCACGAAGGCCCATGTCTTTTTTAAAAAGTCCACCTATAATTAAGCCCATTACAAAAAGCCTACTACTAATTGTTTACAAAAAATCTTACAAAAAAGGCCAAAACACACACTCTGTGAACTACCAAGACTGCACCAACAACGAACAACACCCACCATAGAGTGCAGCCGACATCACCCTGCGATTTCTTCAACCCAACCCGTACGAATCCCCCCTTCAAAAAGCCTCGCTCAAACAATTGGATAAAAAAGGGCAAAATAGGAGGCAGAAACTTGGGTTCCATCGAAAAAAAAGTCGTGCTCCCTTTCCATTTTACAAACAACTTTCAATCAATATCCTCATCTCTTCTTCAAAGACAACAACAAAAAAATGCAATATTAAAAAACCCATCCAACAACGAAGGAAAAACGACTTCAGATTGGCTTCCATTTCTTTCTCTCGAAGCCCACCTTCAATCATCTTCCTTCTTCCTCCATTAAACAACACAAAACTCCAACCTTCTTCAAATCAACTCATCATCACCAAACCCAAAATCCCCTTCTCTAACCATAGCCCAAAATCACTTCTCAATCATGAAAACACATATCTGAATTAAAATAAAATAGAGAACAAAAAAGAGATTGAGAAGATATTCTTTCAAATTCGTAAACCATAAGCAAAGCAAAACCCAAACACAATTCATACCTGAACCTGAGCAAAGAAAGATCGGGCAATCAAAGTGGATTTGAGAGAGATAGATTCGCGTTGCAAGAAGGTTTTTTCCATGGTCATTGCGAATCTTCGTTGCCGTTTTTGTTTTTCTTGGAATATATATTTTTGAGTGTTGA